ACCGGAGAAAAAGCAAACTAGTCACTTATCAAACCCCAGAGGATTGTGGGATTTCCGCTCTGCATCAAACACGCCACCGGCGTTATTAGTGGGTTATTCGTTTTTCATTTCCTTCCTTCCATCCACGTCTTGTCTTCCCTGTGTGTGTCTCTCTCTCTCTCTGTCTCTCTCCCTTCGCAGTGGATGACTCAGCCAATTTGCCTCCCTCCCCTCCCCCCTCTCCATCCGCTGAGCAGATCGGGCCCGTGGCACAAGGTACACACACGTATGCCCACACCAGACCCTCCAGCATGAGAGTGTGAATGGTGGAAAAAGACAAAGACGCCGCCGATCAAATGTGTGCGTCTTGAGAATTTGGGTCTCGAGACGAGGCAGCCACTCCTCCTCCTTTCTTCTTCTTCTTTGATTTTTAGTTTCTGCTGCTCTGCATGTCCACTGATCACCTTTAAGACGTCTGCAGGATGTCCCACTGTGTCCTGTCCACTTTGGTCCAATATCACTTTAAAGCTAAAACACTTACATCCTCCCCTCGCTTCACGTAACCTGCCACCGGAGCCCGTCACCTCATCCGGCTGCCTCCCCCCTTCTCACCATCTCCTCTGCGCTTCTTTTTCCTCACTTTGTCTTTTGAGTTTGTGAATCACTCATCTGCTTCCGGCTCTCGGGAAAACAACAACAAGTGTTGTCTAATCGTTTCCTCTGTGCATGTGGCATGCAATCAACAAAATGTAGAAGTAGATTAAGTAGATCTCAAAACCTCCGCCAAGGCCCAACGGTCCCCTGATGAAGCCATGTTTTAATTAAGCAGATCCAGGTTTGTATGTAAATATACCTGAGTTTTAAATCTCCCTGGGCCCTGGTTGGTGAAGGCAAACTACCAGAGAATACATTCATCGGTATATTTTGTCTCATCCTGCAGACAAACAAACAAACAAACAATATAACCTTGGTGGAGGTACTCATATCGTCCCACTGCATGTTTTATTACAGAACAAATCCTCAGGGACTTTCCCCTCAAACTTCAACTCTTTAAATATATTTGATGATGTAGCTTTGCTTGTGTTCCTGAATATTTTTAAATACCTAAGAGTTGATTGCATCCCATACATCGCCATCGGAGCTGAAAGTGTCAAACCATGTGACCCCAGTTTTGTCGTCCTCCATGTCTCATCCATGTGTCTCCCTCCTTTCCTGCTCGAAGAAGATAAAGTAGAGAAGGAGGAGGAGGAGGAGGAGGAGGCTGCTCCCGACAGGCACCAGGAGGAGGTGACATATGAGCAGCCAGGAGACTCGCTCTTAGAGCAGACAGATTATTTAGCAGAGCCCCAGCAGACACCTGAGGTCCTCAATGGAGGAGCTCATCCAGGTGAACGCAGCTCGTCTCCAAAAGGTGTGTGTGTGTGTTTGTGATTTAACTTGACTCGTAAATGTGCGACTGATCTTTTCCTACTCTGCATGATCCTCTCGTGCTCTGTTATCGGACACGGAGACTTTGATTTCCAAAGCGTGATGCGACTCAGGCTTTGCTGCCGACCTTCCTCCAGCTTCTTTGCTCTTCAGCTTCTGCTTCAATACCTGAAGTCGCTGTTTGCAAAGTGACACAACACAACACTTTGATTTTGTTGCTCTTCTCATGCCATTTGCTTTCCATCGGAGCGACATTAGAAAACCTGATCAACCACGTTGCGGTTGATCACCTCTCTGCCCTCGTGTATTGCCAGCTACATTGCAAATGCAGATATCACTGTGTGAACTGTCAAGCATCGTAGATTTGAGTGTATTCTTTGTATTTGTATGTGGATCCTGCTGGAATACTGTGTCTCTGAGAATGCCCACGTGTTCGGGTACTTCATGGATCAGTCTATTTTACGGCTGTTGTGTATCTGTCACTTTGAGTTTTGATGTTGTTTTCATTTCATCCCGAGGCGAAGGATAATCCTGTTTTCCTATTGTTACTAAGATCACTTCTAATCCACACTCATTGGACATGTCTCATCTTTATCTATTAATGATTCACTATGAGTCCCCTTTATAAATTCACTTCACTAACTGCGAAAACTAAAAGTATTTCCCCTGTGTATTGCAATAGGAATTCAAAACATTTCTGTTCATTTATTTCTCGTCATCTAACGTCATGCAACTCATCCCTTCATTCCAGTTCTGCACGCTGTCGTAGGTGCTGTACTTCCCCCCCCGCGCTGTGTGTTTTGCCTGATGGAGAGCTACTGTATCTGTGTGCAGACGGCCTCCGCTTCTCTGTATTGGCTTTTTGTGGATGCTGCTAGCGAAAGCTTTTAGGTAGCGTGACTCGGAGATGCACAGAGTTGTACAGTGTCCTTGAACTCGCAGCCCGGCCGGAAGAAGAGTGTCTCAGTCAGGTGTGTTGTGAGTCTGCGATGAAAGAAGACGAACCGCAGGTGTCGCCGTTGCACGCGAAGCAGGTGGTTGTTGAGGAAGTGAGTCCTGAAGGAGAAGAAGTTGCCTCGAGCGAACCTCCTCCTCCGTCTGTGAAAGATAAAGACGTGCCCTCGATAGAAGTGGGAAGAAAAGATGAAGTAGAAGAGTCCAAAGAGGTGAAAGAGTCAGAAGAGTCGTCGCCAAGCAAAGACAAACCACAGACAGCTGACTCGATAAATAAGGACCAAGATGGAGGTGACATCATATTGCAAGAGACACAAGTGACTGATGTTCAAAACGTCCAATCCAGTCCAGAACCGGGTGCAGAGTCCAAAAGCACAGCTGGGGTGTTGGAAGAACAGAAACCAGGAGCTGCCACTTACTTTGAGACGTCCTCAAAACTCCACGGAGACCAGTCACCGCAAACTCAGAGCTATTACGAGCTCAGCACAGCGGCAGAGATGGAATTAAGAGAACCTGAAAATGTGATGCAAGAGGAGGAAGAGGAGGAGACAGTGAAGACGTCCAGCTGTAAAGTGTCTTTCGAGCAGAGAAGCCTCTCGTTGAACATTAACATCGGATCCTCTGAGAAGAAGTCCAGCTCCTTCTCCGAGAGTTTGTGTCCAATCAGCGGAAGTTTCGATGAATCCGACGTCCACCCTGCAACGCCGACCGTGGAGAGCCATAACCACACGTGTCCTCCAGCTGTTTCCATCACTGAAACATCTGCTGGCGCACACGAGGATGCTCCCGCCAAAGAAGAAGCGCCTCCAAGTCCTGACGAGCAAATTTCCAGTTTCTGCCTCTCTGAGATGTTGGACCTGGCGGGAGCGCTGCCTCAGCCGTCACTGGGGAGGAGAGAGGTCGACCACATGAGGCGAAAGTCTGTGCCCACCAATGTGTCGTCCCTCGTGGGCAGCTCTTTGGCTCGGCTCGCTTTGGGAGATACGACCTCGAGAGCTGCGGGGAGGGAAAACCAGCTGGAGGAACTCGGCTACTGTGTATTCAACGAGTACTCGGGGCCGTTGCCTTCTCCTGCAGACGTTCCAAGTCCTGGACACTCTCCGCACCAGAGTTTCCCTTCTGTGGAGAGCGAGGTCGAGGAAGAGCTGAGTGTTTACAAGGGAATCCAACAACCGGATCAAAAAGCTGTAACCGAGAAGAAGGATTCACCAGTGAAGACGTCCCTGATGCTGGAAAGAGCCGTGACGAGCGGAGTGAAACCCGATCGCCTGAGAATCCCAATGAATTCATCAAAAGACAGGCTGAATGAGTTTCGTTTGGAGAGCGGCCTGACTGGAGACCTTAAGATCCAAGCCATCCCTGAGGTTGATGTAGAGAAAGACCCCTCTAGAGAGGCTTCCCCCATCCCACCAGACAGTTCCTTCACTTTCACTCCTGTGGATCCTCTGAGCAAAGTTCCAAAGACTCCAACCACCCCCGGATCACCAGAAGATGCACTGTCAGAAAGCCAAGACGCTAAAGATGAAGCTGGGAAAGAAGTCAAAACGGAGAACGAGTTCAAATCTGAGAGCAGAGATGATAAAAAGCCAGAGTTGGACAAAGACGTGACGCCAGCTGAGCAGAAAGAATCCGAGCAAATAAGTGAAGAAGCAAACAGATCTTCAGTGTCCTCTTCAGGAGAGAGCACAGACAAGAAGATTCAAGAAGAAACAGAAACGCAACAGATCTCAAAAGCCCAAATCCAGTCGCTGATAACCACCACCATCATCGTCATACCTCAAGCACAAGCAGAGGAAGAGGATGAAGACGACATAGAGATCGCAGAAGAGCCTCAAGAGATGATGGAGGAAGCCGAAGAGCCCGTTCTTCCGAAGACGCATGAAGCTGAAGACAGAAAGAAAGAGGAGGAGATGGGAGGCGACCAGGTGGTGGAAGAAGAGTGGAGTCGTAGTGCAACACACTCGCCTCCTTGCTCCGACCAGGGTGGAGGCAGAGACGATGGGACGGGGGAGGAAAAAGGAGCAGAAATAAACCGAGAAGAAGGGAGGAAACAGGACGAGGAGGAAGAGAAGAGGGTGGATGAAGGGGAGGAGAAAGACGTAGAGATGGGTCAGGAGGTGGAGGAGAACGATGAAACCACATTGGAAGTGTCCATCCTGGACACAGACAGTGGCTGGATGGACTCACAAGGTACTGGAGCTTGTACATTCAAAGTTATTACCTGTAAAAACGTGTTTAAAAGTAAATGAAAGTTCATTTCTAGCATCAGGAAGCTTGTTGTTCTGATCCCTCTCCACTGCAGATGAGGACAAAAGTATAATGACTGAGCAAATCGAAGCCCTTCCTCACACCCAGAGTTCCACGTGCACACCCGCGGCGGCGGTGGTGGTGGACAGACCCGCTAAACGGGCCCCTGGCAGAGGAAGGGGCCACGTTGGCACCGCTGAGAGCAAAGTGTCCCGCAAAGTGCTCCATCCAAGAGAGGAGATGAAGAAGAAAAAAGGTTTCGATTTTGTTTTCGAGAAGAAGTGTTGTCTGATTTAGCCATTTTCACAAATGTCGTTAACTCTTGTTGACTTGAACTCAGATTTTGCGTCTGTATTTCCTGTTGGTGTAATCCTCTCTCTCCCTTTTTGCCAGTAGGCATGAGGAGGGCTGAGCAGAATAAGCTGTCAGTCCTCCAAAGTCGCTCTCCATCTCGAAAGAGCGTAGCCAGAGCGGCGGCCAGACACCCTCGGCCCGCTCTGCTTCACGGCTCTGCTAGACGCAAGGCCTCAGGTGAACACTTTTCACCGGGAACCAGGTGCCGTGGATAGAGAGAGTGAAAGCAAACATTACTCATAAGGTGCTGCAGTCTTCATTACGAGACACAATCAGAAATGACTCTCTCTATTGATGGCTGTGGAATTGTGCGGGTGCAATGTAGCTGGCAAACATCACGTGCTGCCATCTTTGAGTCGTCCGCTCTGTTTTCTCTCCATCGTCACTTTTCTGTTTCACGGCTTCATTTGCTGCATTGTCAGCAGTTTGGCTTCTTGTTTTCTTCTGGGCTCGCTTCTCACGTTTCTGTGTTTGCTGGAAGTGGCTTCAGAGTTTCCCTTCACTTATTTCACACAGTCGTGTCCATTCAGGGAACGTGATGCACATGGATGTACAAGCAATGTCTCCTCCTGCTGGTTCACGCTGGTTATTACATCGGGGCTGTTTGCTTTGCAGGCATGGAGAGCCACCAGCCCCTCAGTGTGGCCCACCAGTCCAGGGAGAGGACCACTGTAAGTACACACACACACACACACACATGTTGTTCATCGTGTGAACCTGTTCTCTGCATGACAAACTTTTCTTTTCTTTCTTTCCTGCACGTTTGCATTTGTTTCCTGTTTTTATTCCCCTCTGTTCGTCTTGTCTTCGCATGCTCGCCGCTTTTCTCATCTTTACCAATGTCAACAGAGGAAATCTGTGAGTAGAGAAAATCAAATGACAGCAGACGCACACGGTTCATCGCACCGATTAATAAAAAGCAGCATCGTAGTAAAACTATTATTTTCATTCACATTTAAGAAATGTGTTCGTCTCCATCAAACCATCAATCGTCTCATCTCACTCCTTTGTTTCTCCATCTGTCTCCTCTTCCTCCATCCTGCACGCCGTCCGTCCCTCCTGCATGTTGCCCCACCTTCTGTCCAGAGCCCAACACGGGCCGCGCTCTTAAAGATGGCAGTGCAGCGTCGGGGGTTCGACCATCCCCCCCGGCCCAGCTCTGCCTGTAGCCTTAAGCTGAGCCCCCTGGTGGCGGCGGAGCTCAGTGAGTTCCGCCCCTCCTCTGCATGCTCCCGCCCGTCCCCTCTGCCAAAAAAATGGGCAGAGAAGGTAAAGTGGAAGGAGCGCAAGGGGCTGATGGGTAATGCACGCTTGCAGGTGATGAGGTGCAGGTGCTGACTCTTCTCTGTGTTTGTGTTGATATCAGGAGAGAGCGTACCGCAGCCCGGAGAAGAGGTCGTCCCTCCCCAGGCCGGCCAAGTCCCTGACACGCCACATCCCCGCTGCGGAGCAGGATGACAGCACCCCCTGCAGGCCAACCTGTAAGAACGCATTCCACTTGTTTTCCTCACTTTATTCACTTGATTGAGTCTCGCTGACGTTTTATTTGATCACATAATAACTCCCACACACCCTGCTCCTCTCTGACCTCCCCCGCTCCCCTCACCTTCTGACGCCTCCCCGTCTTCTTTAAAGCGATCCAGTCCAGAGGGGACAGCAGGTCTGGAAGGGCCCCTTGTATGGCAGGTAGACCACCCAGTAGATCCTGTTAGACCCTCATCAGCAACACACCACATCTAGTTCTGCTCTAGTGAAGGATTCATTCATCTTGGCCGCACATTATTCTGAAAGTCTTGAGTTAAACCACACAACAGTCCCCAGTTTACAGTGAAATCACCTTCATCGTCCAATCAGAAAGAAGCTTGTGAAGTATTTTTGTTAAACCCGCAGTGTCCTTATCACAGTGAGCAGGTGGAATCCATAGCAACAGGTTCCTGCTTCCTGTTCTTCCTCGGGGACGTTGTCGACTGAGACCCTATTGGTCCTGGCTGCTCCGGTATCCCGGCAACCAGCCTCCAGCCTCAGATGAGCTGTGTGTTTTCAAACGCTCGTGTTTGAGCTGGGATGTTTGTTTTGTGGGAGCTGCAGATTTGGCGCCACTGTTCCTGTCTCTACTCACACACACACACTCTCATCAGTCCATCACTGATCTCTCTTTTTCTTCCATATTCCAGGAAAGACTTCTTCTACTTCTTCTCCTAATCCCACCTCTCCTCTCTTTCCTCTCTCTCCTCTCTCTCCTCTCTTTCCTCTCTCTTCTCCCTCTCCTCTAGGCACAGACTCTGCCCGTTCCCGGTCTGGCCGCAGCGGCGCCTCCACCCCCGGCTCCACCGCCGTCACACCCGGCACGCCCCCGAGCTACGCCTGCCGCACCCCGGGCTCACGCACCCCCGGCAGCCACACCCCCAAGTCCTTCAGCGTCCTCCAGGAGAAGAAGGTGGCGGTGATCCGGACCCCGCCCAAGTCGCCGTCCTCCGCCCAGCGGCAGTTGAAGGTTCTCAACCAGCCGCTGCCGGACCTGAAGAATGTCAAGTCCAAGATCGGCTCCACCTCCAACCTCAAACATCAGCCCAAAGGAGGACAGGTAACGGCACCGAGGTTTGGAATCCAAGCAGAATCTAAAAAAGCAACAAGTCAAAGTCTAACGGAGAGAAATTTTAGAATTTGAGTTTCAATTCAAGTTAAATTCACAAAGAAAAAAACAAATTGAGATAAATATTCATCATATTTTATTATTTCTGGTTGCGAGCATTTACCTCAATCTGCCACAAGGGAGCAGAAACGATCAAGTTACATTTTAAACCTTGGATAAAAGATTA